CTCTCTCTCTCTCTCTCTTTTTTCTGGAGCTGAGGACCGAACCCAGGGCCTTGCGCTTGCTAGGCAAGTGCTCAAACAAAATCCCCAACCCCCTAAGCAGTCTCTTTTATGGCTCCAACTCTTACTGAGTCCTGAGAACACCATTTCTTCCACACACCAAAGAGTGGAAATTCTCAATAGTCCTCATTGATTCCCTTAACCTTGACATTCTGCAAGTGGTTTCTTCATTCAGTTGCCTTTATGTCTCCAGTGATCTTCCTTGGAGGCTGAATCTAACCACCAGTCCGGACAGTCAGCTGAGGTACCCTTCTTACAGCTACTTGGAAGGAAGGCCAATGGCTTCCTTCTGGTCAGACAGCTCCGGCTCCTTCCAAACTAATTAGTGGATAGACAGGGCAGTGGCCAGGGACCAAATATTGGCTCTTGATGCTGTCTCTGCTTTTGTCCACCTGGAATTGAAATGTGGTATAGTTCAGCCTCTGCAGGTTGTGTTGCATATTGACAATATGCATGTGGGCTTCTGTGAAACGTTCTCTCTGCTCTCTCCTAGCTCTGGCACTAAGATCTGTAAACTGGTAGCTAGAGAGGGAAGGGGACTTGCTCCCCTGTACAGCATAGCAATGGTGTGAGGACTTGAACTCATCTAAAGGACTTAAATTACTGCATCTTTTTAAAAACATTTATTGTGTGTGTGCGCACGTGCACGTGCATGTGTTTATGTGTGTAGGCACAAGTGTTATCACATTCATGTGGAGGTCAGAGGACAGTTTGTGGAAGTTGGCTCTCTCCTACCACCATGTAGGTTCTGAGGGTGGAGCTCGAGTTGTCAGTCTTGGCAGCAAGCTCCTTTACCTACTGAGCCATCTCAATGGCTTATTGTTTCTTAGTTTTTCTGAGGTATTTCTTCCACAGTTCAATAAATATTTCATCAGTGATAACTCAACATATCCCCACCCCCAATGCCACCCCAGACAGCTTACAACCTAGAAACTATCACCACTCTTTGACGTATCTGCCACTTTGCCTACCCAGGTTTTCATCCTCTCACCCACCTCTGGCTTTTCTCACCCAAGAGAGCTGGCTAGAAGGTCCTGTTCCCAGTTGCACACGGGAAACTTGGGGAAGGAAGAAAAACAGGACTCTAGGGAAGGAGAGCTGCCTCTCCCATCTGTATCAAAACTAATAGAAGATAAATGTGTCTGCTTGAAGAGAAACACCTTCACTGATTGAATACATAATCCATTCTGGAAAACATGGTCCTTGGAATAGCTCATAGCTGATCTTCATACTGAGTGTGAAATTTAAAGTGAGATGGTGAGGAGAGAGGGTATCAGGCATGAGGCAGTAAACCTAGCTTCCTTCTTGCCTGGGTCTCTCTCAGACACTCACTGTGTCTTGAAAGTGGAGAAGAGAATGGAGAGCCAGCTCCCTAGCAGCTCAGCTAAGAAGCTCCAGAGGAGGGCTGGTAAGAAGCAGCCAGGACAGAGCCAGAGGGGCCAGGAGAGATCAATCCCTGGAGGAAGGCTCTTTAGACATCTGAGAGGCACAGCAGGTGGCTTAAGAGCAGGGCCTAGGGGAGCAACTACTGCAGAGGGCAAGTGGGGTGAAATGAATTGGGGTAGCAGAATCTTGGGCTGAAAAGGAAGAGACACTGTTGCCCCAATTCCCTTTGGGCTTTTGCTATTTAATTGAGTAATTCCTGGCCCAAGGGCAACTGGGGAGAGTTTGTCTGGCTTGCACTAGAGATGGTACTTAATTGCCTTGAGATTCTGCTTGGGGTTTTTCCTTCAGAATTTCCTCACATGGCCCAGCTTTACCCTGCCATATTTCCCAGAGGTATCCAGAGAAACAAGCCTTTTGGAAAACCACCAGAGTGGGGAGGTCTTCCTCTGAAAGCTTAAGCCAGGTCTGGGAAAATCTACCCTCTTCAGTTTGAGATGGGAGCATCTTGCTTCCACAGACCACTTACCCTCCTTCCCAGAATGCAAACTCTCAGGCAGTGATTGGAATGCCATAAGAGGAAGAGAGCTATAGTAATTCCCCAGAAGAACATAGACTCCTTTTCGCTCTTGCATTTAAAGTGCAGTACCCAAAGAGGGTAAACTGCCTTCCCAGTGAATATCAGGTAGCTGTTCTGCACTAAGATGACCACCCCCGCAATGACCTGGAACAGCTCCACATTTGAAATCTTCATTTTAAATCTGCTGCTCCCTGTTTATAAACCTATCCTTGCCCTTTCAGTTTTCTCCTAAACCTGTCATTCTTCCTCAAGACTGTCAGCCCTAAGCCCATGGGGCCTCCTTCCATGTCCCATCTGTGGCTCCCTTCCAGGTTTGACTTTTCAACAGCCTTTTATGTTCTGGCCCAGGATTTGGTTCTTGAGGGTCCCAAGTATCGAAGCTGGGGTGCTTAACACAATTGGAAATTTATGGGAAAGTCTTTCTTGTCTCTTCTAGGTGCTGGTAGCTCCTGGTGTCCAGGGCTAGTGACAGCATAGCTCCAGGCCCTGCGTCCATCTTCCTCTGGTGGCCCTCTACCCTATGTCTGTGTGCCCCTTTCCATCTCTTACAAAGACATCAATCACTGGATTCGGGGCCCACTTGAAATCAAGTGTGATCTCTGATCTCATCTCCTTTCTTTCCGTAGTTGTATCTGCAAAGACCCTATTTCCAAATGAGGTTGCATTAGAAGGTTTTGGGTGGAGGGGCTAGGGAGAGGATTTAGACGTTGCAGAGCTTGCTGTGCAAAATTAACAACTGGAGTTCAGATCCCCTGAACCCATGTCAATGCAGGGTGGGTGTGATGGCCTGCCTGTAATCCCAGCACTCAAAAGGTGGAAACGGGGGATCCATGAGCAAGTTGCCTGGCTAGATCAGCTGAGTTGGTGAGTTCTGCGTTCAGCCAGAGACCCTGCCTGAAGGCAGAAAGTAATCAAGGAGGACATGCGGTATCAACCTCTGACCTCCATAGATGTATATAAATATGCACTTGTACACACACCTATTCATCACACATGTGAGCATGCATACACACACATACCATGCACATATGCACTAAAAATAAAAATAAAATAAAATAGTTCTGGGTGGTTATGAGATCTTAAATATTTTTCCTTTTTCATTATTTTTATTTTATGTATATGAGTGTTTGGCCTACATGTATGTAAGTGCACCCATGTCATGCAATGCCAGAGAGGGCATCAGATCCCCTGGAACTAAAGGTATTTGTTAGCTGCCATGTGAGTACTGGGAATTGAATCCAGGTCCTCTGTAAGAGAAGCCAGTGGTCTTAACCACTGAGCCATTTCTCCAGTCCCGTATTTTTTTCCCTCTTACATAGCTGTTTATTGGCAGTGGGTTGGAAGGGACGAGAGTTAGTATTCAAAGACAACTGCACACACCAAAGTTATGATGGTGGCAAGAGTGGTGGGAAAGAGCCTGGAAGTCCCCTTCTTCAAGAGCAAGTGGGTAGGCAGGGGCCTGGAATATTGATGGGGAAGCCTTAGACCACCTTAGCTTAGTAGGCATGGTTAGAGATTAAGGACTCACTGGCTGCCATCCCCAGTCTGACCACTTGGGGTGCACTTTCCTTGACAAGTGAGACTGCTGGTCTAAAAGGGGGAGGAATCGGTGAGATCTCTTCTGAGTCCCTCCCACCTGCCCAGGCACCTGCTTGCATATCCATACTTGCCTTACCAGGGCTCGCTTGGGCAGCCTTTAAATTCTTCTTCCCGCCTCAGGCCTTTAGGGCAGAGGCCAGCAGGACTCAGCCATAGGAGAAAGCCAAGGCCTGTGGCTTCAGCAGGGGGCATTTGTTGATGGCACTGAGATTGATGGACACCTCTTTCTCACTCTGCCCTCTGGACAGGAAAGTGATCCTAGGAACAGCAGAGGGCACTGTGGGACACAGTGCTGTGACAGTTGTCATGACAATCTCCTCATTTGAAAACTTCTGGGTGCAAGCATGGCATAGGGTGACCATGTTGGGCTTCAGTAAGATGTCTTCCAAGTGGATGTGGTGGTTGCTCAGAGCCTTGTGGACAGTGGCCTGTACCTTCTCAGTTAGATACTGACAGTGCTTCAAGTCATGGTTCCCATCAGGGAGGATTTTGGTCTCCACAATGCTGGCATAATCGGCTAGAACATTGGCATTATCCATGATGGAAAGGGCTGAGGGAGTGTGTTCTCCAATCTTGAGCACACAATGCCACTTGGCAGTCGGCTCCATCCTTGTACTGGACATAGCATTCAGACAGCCCATTCAGCCCTTGGGTGGTGGTCTTGTCATTGGTTCCTGCCAGAGGCACCATGCCCTTGTCTACTTGATGCCCATAACACCATCCTTGTATTTGATAACTTGGAGGAAGAGATGTCCATCATCCACCTTTTGGTACAGTGTCTCATGAAAGAGGATCACCCCCAAAGCAGGGATTCACACAGTCAGCAGTGGTCAGCAGCAACGGGCAGTAGAAGTGCCGGTTCTCTGTGTTCCTGGTGCCAGTGGACTGCAGCCTCTTGAAAATGCTGCCAGTGCCCTTGCCCAGAGCCACAATGCAGTGAGCAATGTCATACAGTTCCTCTGCTCCAGGCTTAGTGCTGGGTATGGGTAGGACATGGGGCCTGTGGCAGCAAGTTCCTGGTAGAGGAGGGGCTTGGGTTTGTGGGGTGTGGCAGTACTCACCAGAACTAGGTTCTACTGATTTATATTTGATGTGTATGAGTGTTTTGACTGCATGTGTGTAAGTGCATGCAATGACCTCTGAGGCCAGAAGAGGGTGTTGGATCTCCCGGAACTGAAGTCACAGATGTTTGTTTGCCACCATGTGGGTCCTGAGAAGTAAACCTCCATCCTCTGCCAGTGGTTTTAACCACAGAGCCATCTCTCCAGCCCCCTGGACATGAGTTTTGGAGAGAGACCTCATTCAGACACCACACAGGCCCTCTTAATCCTTCTGTTGCACTTTCCTTCCAAAATCCCCAACTTCACTCATGATCATAATTGAGCATCTCCCTTTTGACGTTGGTGCTACTGAGCTCAGGTTTAGCTCCTCCAGCTTCTTGCTATTCATAATGCTCCTAAGCTGAAAGAGGGACACCTACCCTATGGCATCATCTCCCCTGTCCCTCAGAGGCCAGCCCCACAGAGATGATTGAACTCCCTCAAACCCATCTCAGAAATTTGTTAATGCCATAAAGTACAGTGTGTAGGACTATTAAGGAAATTTATTTATTTAAAATTGTTATCAAACTTTAAAATTTGTGCTAATATTATATATTTGAGACCTGGTTTTGCTATATGTCCTAGGCTGGCTTTGAACAGGGCTGGCCTCAAACTTGCAGCAATCTGCCTGCCTTAGCCTCTCGAGTACTGGTATTATAGGACTATTATATTAATTTTTTAAAATTAATTAATTAATTTTTATTTTAGTGTATGCGTGTATTGCCTGTACATAGTAGGTAAGTGCACCCGTGTTGTGCAATGCCTGCAGAGGTCAGAAGAGGCTGTCGGATCCCCTGGGAATGGAATTATGGACAGTTTAGTTAGCTGCCACGTGGGTGCTGGGATACGGACCCAGGCCTTCTGCAAGAACAACCAGTGTTCTTAACCACTCTCCAGCCCCTTATATTAATGTATAATCTATAATCTAGCTTCAGCTCTAATGATTATTCCAATTTTGAAATAGTGGTGAATACATATGATATTTCAAGATGTCTGAAACAACGTCAGTGCATTATGAAGGATTTCTACTGGATACAAACAAAGTCATAAGCGTTGCTATATCCAAAATGGAAGGAAATGCTGGTTTGGGTTAGTGATCATGGATCCAACTAAGAGCTCCTGTCCCAAATAGGTGCTTCACAAACTCTCATGTGCATATGAACCATGCAGAAATGTGGTTAAGATGTCACTAGAGGTGGTCTTGAGGCTCTTCAGTGTTAATAAGTTCTGCCTGAGGCTACTGGTTCCTAAGACAGGGTGTACTGAGAAGGGCACTGGATAAAGGTCACCAACCACCTTTAGAACCATGATGGGCTCTGAGAGGAGAATTACTGCTGCCATGGCCCTGAGATTGGGAGAAAGGACTTCACAATCTTCACAGTTGTACTATAGTGATGAGGCCACTCCAGCACATCTTCTGAAGAGGATATAGTCAGCATTCAGACCTGGAATGCATTCTCTCAGCAAAGCTGCAGGGAGTCCACAGTCCTTTCACTGCTCCAGTTGGCTCCAGAACATAAGACCTTCCTTTTTGCCCAACAGAAGCCAAGCTGAGCCAGTTAGATAAGACTTGACTCGAGGCTTGGGAATAACAGAAGAAAAACAAATGCCGATTGTGAAATAAGACCACAAAACAAGACTGCAAGATACCCTGCCCTCTTGGTGATGGGCTTTAAACACAAGGTCCCTCTTGGCCTAGACCTTTAAAAATAAGGCTCCATGGGAGAAGTAGCAGTCATTATCAGACTATGCCCAAGACAGTGTGAATCCCTGAGACAGATGCCACGAGGCCTGGGTCCTCTCATATTGCTAGTGTTTTAGAGGTCTGGGTTTCTTTTTCTTTTTCTTGTTTTCCCCAGTGCTGCCTATTAAACCCAAGGCCCCATGCATTCTAAGTAAGTGCTCTACCACTGACTTATATCCACAGTTCTGTAGGTCTAGAATTTTATTAATGGAGATGGCTGACGTCCTGCTCACCATCCCTGCCCTCTTTTCTAATTCTTGCTTGCTTCCAAGTGATACCTGTGCACCCACATACTCAGGGAATCCTTCCTGTATCCTGAGTTCTGATATTATAATCTTTTTGTCCCCATTATGAGTTTCTTCATCAGTATTCACCCTACTGAGTAGAGAGCTGCTCCCTTAAGCTCACTCCTAAATGTTTCAACTTTAACCTACAATCATATTTCAATACAGTACACTAAACTTAATAACAATACAAGAAAATTACACACACAGTACCAGACTTGAGTTTGTATTGGAAATCTATGTCTCCTATACCTGCAGCCTGGTTATGGGTATGATTTTTATGGCCTCTTAGACCTATGTTGCATTTGTGCTAAGCTCCATATTCTTTTTTAAAAAGTATTTTATTGATTGATTTTATTTTCTGTATGTCAGTATACTGCCTGCATGTGTATAAGTGCACCCGTGTCATGCAATGCCCAAGGAGGTCAGAAGAGGACTTCGGGATCCCCTGGAACTGGAGTTAAGGATGGTTGTTAGCCACCATGTACGTGCTGGGAATCTAAACCAGGTCCGTTGCAAGAGCAGCCAGTGCTCTTAACTGCTGAGCCATCTCTCCAAACCCAGCTTCATACTCTTAAAGCATCTGATTAATTTCTCTCAGCCTCAGTGATGGGATAATAAAAGGAAACAGTCAGGGGCTGGAGAGATGCATAGGGACTCTTAAGAAATTATACTGACCCCTTTAATCTTTGGTTATACTTTCCTTTTGGATGTTTATGGCCATACAGTTGGCCCAGATAAGCCAATTTATTTTTACTCTTAAGGTCATTTGAGGATCTGTTCCTCAGGGGTCACATGGGCTTGGGAGGAGCCCCTGGCTCCTTTCTTTTACCAGTTCCGCCTATGTGAAGATAAATAAAAGGTCCTACTCAACCATGGCTGGCTTCGCTTGGAAGCATGAAGTGATTCCTCTGTGTTGATCCTCCTCTTTGTAGACTGGACACTGGTTCAGGTGCATCTTGTGGGGGCTCCTCGGCCACCTTGATCAAGAGGACAGGTGACCCACCACCATTACAAGACATTTTGAGAGATTCTCATAGTCCCCTGGAACTAGTCGACCTAGGAGGGCAAGGAGCAAAACCTGTCCTTTATGTCCCTCTGACCAAATTATTATAGGGCTCAAAGTAGAGGCCACCAGTCTGGTACTTTTAATTACGGTGTGTCATGTAGATAAATCTTGGGCAAAGACCAATTGTTCTCAGATGAACCTTACCTAGACATATATTTCTTGATCTGCTATGTATAATTTGTCAGCAGGTTGTAGGAGTAATATGGTTCCCTCTGGTTTTCAAAACTAGCTAGGCATTATTTATCTCTCTCATTGTCTCACCCCTCCACCATAGTTTTCCCACTCAAGGTGCCCCCATTTCCCCCCTTTCTCCCTTAATAATACCCTTCTCCTACGGTCCTACCTCCCTTGATCTCCTTCTTTCTCCTTATCCCCTAGGTTCCTTGTATACCCTTCCGTCCCCACCTCCCTTAAACTAACGAAAATTTTATCCATATCTCCCTTATTAAGGCCTGTTTCCTATTGTTCTTCTCTTTCAGGTTATTTCTTTTCCTTTACCTCCCTGGTTCCTTATCATTATCCTGGTTCCTGTAGTTATGTCTGGATACATAATCATTTATCAGGATTTGGTGCTAGGATCTACATATGAGGGAAAACCTATGTGGTTTTTACTTTTTTTCCTGAGCCCGTGTTACTAAAGTTAGTATAACAGTTTCTAGGTCCATCCATTTACCTGCAAATTTCATTATTTCTTCTTGCTTTACTGCTGAGTAAA